GAATTTATATAGAATGAATGAACAAAGTAACAAAAATTTCAGAAGTTTTGAATAAAGTCTCTCTAAGACATGAAACTATCAAGGTACAGTCCCTTTTTCATAAATAATATATATAGTATGCATTTTTTTCAAAGCTTCGTATCTTGAACAGACTTTGTCCAAAACTTCTGAAATTTTTTATGCAAACTAGTCTAGCTGAGATCTTTATGCAGGCAAAGTTTCAGATCAAAATTCAAAAGTATAACTTTGCTGCCAATGTGGATGTACTATAGAGAAAATTCACTAGAAGCTCGATATTTCCTCAGAAACAAGCCAGAAACCCGAACTTTTTTTTACCATAGACACAGCTCACTAAGAGCTACAAGATGCGCGAAACCTCGACTGAAAAGCGCTCCTTCACCTGGGAAGGTTCCCTTGTTAGTGGTCTAGGCGTTTAAGAGCAGCATCACATGATAATAACTATGTTGATCTTATCCCAGGAATGGCCCTTAGCATGATTCTTGTCATCCGTTAGAAAACATCATGATCAATGTGATATCGTATCACAAAGATCAATTCTGTACGCAGTTTTAAAATTCCGAAGTGATGCCTCAAAAATTCTTTAAATGGAAACAGGATATATTCATTTATATGTCTTTGTAATTGTAAGAACTAGTGTCACTCATCTGAAAACCATTTTTATGATTCTGAGTGATTTTTTCATGCGTTTGAAGAAGTTCCAGCAAATAAACCTTGTCTATCATATCTTTTTCTATAACTTAGATAAGACAATAAAGATTTCAAATAACTTAAATTCAAGCGTTCAATTGAAATTCTACTTCAAAAAAGAATATTTGTAGAATAATTCACTTTGCAAAATAGAAATCACTACTAAAATGTATCAGACAAAATTTTGATTGGGATCAGAGTTTTGATCAAAGTTCTGCTTTCAAACAAAATTCGAAGCAGAATTATGATTTAATAGCATAATTATAAGAGAATGAAGATGTGTATAGAATTCTTAAATTCTGCTTGTAAGAGTTCTGTCATCCCTTGTGCAATGATAGATAAACAGTAAGTTAACAGAAAAGTGACCATTCACAAGTAAATACTATTTTAGAAAGATTTTCGAGCACGAACTCGATACTATTTTAAGATTGAAAAATGGCAAGTGGTGATTCAAGAGATCAAAAACACTTTAGAGATCAGAGAAATCGCGGCCGATTCTCAAGAAAATTTTACAGCAATAGAAATTTGAACGAACCCATCTACTCACAGAGAGATGACAGCAGTGACAATGTTGATGATGATAGTAATGTTCCAAGACAGGTATAGAAATTAGACGATAATAGTAAAAAATCATCTATCGAATCCTTCTTCTTTTCTTATAGAGTAATCTAACATCTAGCATCAATCGTCATAGGGTGGTCATGGCTGGGCAACTTCCTACTCCAACAGCAGGCAACGCTATGCATAGATTTATTAATCCACCAAGAACGCAACCTTCATCACAGCCTGCGGGTGCTGTTCATTCAACATTGATGGATATGTCAAGATCACCGGCTCGTCTGGCTTTTCAAACTCCATTACCATTACAATCAACTTTTATTCCTCGTATTACTGAATCCAAAACGAACGCGGAAAAATTTCTCTCTGATATCATTGCACGCTATTGTAATCAAAATGAATACGTTAGCGTTGAGAAAGTCGTCGAAAACTTATTTAAGATTTACAAAGTTACAGAATGGTCTCACTTAAATATTAACCATGTGAACAATCCTTATAAAGATCTAACACCATTATCAAATCTTGTTTTAAAACATGCTACAGTGAATTTATTCGTAGACGTCTTTAAACACATACGAATCATTGGTACACTTCCTGAATTAGATCAAGAAATTTCACATCATTTTAAAATAGATTCATACGACAAATTAAATTTAGGACCAATATTAAAACATCCTAAAATTATAACATTATTTAATTTGCATGATGTGCCAATAATAAGACCAACAACAAGCATTAAAATAATTGAATTATTTTATGATTATACACGTACTGTAAAATACAATGAAACAGTCGATTTCGACGCATTCAAAGATCATGCTGCAGAAAGCTTTGGTGTAGAAACTTGGACACATCTCGGTGTCTATGCCAAGTCGTTTCCTTATATACTTCAAGTAAATAAAATACTTTTATTCATCATGTAGAAATTTGTTTAAGAAAGTTAATATGTGTGTTAAAACTTTTAGCATGACATCACTATGTTCGATTTTCGTCCACTGATAGATCACAGGAAAAATCCAAAAAGTAAACATCTATAATGAGAATTTCATGTTAGTTTTGAAATATATATTCGGATTTTATCTTTGACTTAAAGTTGATTCACAAAGAGCAAATCTTTGAGCGAAACGAAAAATGACGGTTCTACAAAAGACTACTAGCTTGAAATCTTTTAGTAAATATGTTTGCTCATATGTCAGACATTTAAATCTAATAGATGAAGATTGAAATAGTTGTTGACAACCAAAATTTGATACTCTTTCCAAATATATCTGTAGAATTTCGTCCTGATTGATATTTTATTGAAATTTATGTAGATACCTGAATAAGTAAAAAGACGCTTCCACCACTAAAAATGTTTTTTTTTATCGTCAATTGTATTCTCTCTAGATGATATTTTAATATAGCTCTCACTTCACATTCTTGTAGAATATGTTATATTCTATAGAATTATCGGCTGCGATAAACTAGTGCTTAAAAGCAGAGACAATTTTTCGAAGTACTATTCTTTATGATGTGATTTTCTAAAATTATCGGTTTTACTGAATATCTGTATTAAAACTGTGATCGATTTTGATGGTTTGCAACAATCTGTAGGAGATTCAGATATTTTCAATTAAAATATACCAAGATAGACTACACGAATAATTCTTTACAACCTCCATAAAAATTTGCTGTTTGAGAATAAACTATTGCTTGTCATCTGTGATCTACGAATTGATGAAAATTAAACGGAAATATTATTCCTAGATTTTATTCATGCAAGTTATTTTAGACATGTCGAGCTATGAAAAAAAATCTCAGAACACAAAATTCAACATGGTCGGAAAAAATTGAAGAAATTGAAATTGAGCTATGTAAAAAAAAATTAGAAAACATTAAAAATGACTTTGAAAATGCTCTTTGTGATGATAATCGTCAAATTTATATTAGTAAGACACCTGTTGATGTATTTCATCATTTACTTGAAACTGTTGAAGAGAAAATGGTTTTTGGGAATATTAATGATCAAGATTATCTATTAAAGCTACTAAATGAATTAAAGAATAGTGAGTTGTATAAATATTTAATGAATTTGGCAATCTATTTGGGAACAATCGAAGAACCAAAGAAGTTTACTGTAAATATGGATAGCGATCAATCTAATGAACAAACATCGTTATTATCATCATCACCAGTGACTACAGGTAGCAATAATAAAATACTACAACAACAACAACCAAAAGTACCGTTAAATAAATTATGTACAACTTTATATAAATTAATTAATGAATCCGATGGTTTATTTCAAATGTTAACATTGATTGAAATTCAACGAGAAATATGTCAACATTATAAAATTGATGAAAAAAATGATTTTACATTATTAGGTTATGGTGATTTTATCAAATTTTTATATGATCATAAAAAGACAATTGGTGATACTTTAGAATTTTATTTATTTAATTCTGATTCATGTGGTGGTATTAAACGAACAGAATTATTTACATTTGTTCAACATTTATTTAATAATAGTATTAATGATAAAAAAATCATTGAGAAAACAATTAAATATCATTTTAATTTACAAAATTTAAAACAAATTGGATTTCATAATATTGAACAATTATGTGATCGAGTTCAGCAACAAAAACAAATTCAAAAGACTATCACAACAATCCAGTATGTAAAAACAGAAGGATTATAGAACTAATTTTTTTTTCTTTAATTTTTAGGTATGAAGAAATTTTATTAGGTAATGAATATTTAAATAAATTAGATACAAATATCCATCGTCCATTTATTCGTGATGATGATCGTTTATGTGAATATTTAACGAATTGTCCACTTCTAGTTGATATTAAATCATGGTCTCATTGGAATCGTTTATATATGCAAGACAAAGGACATATTAAGGAATTTCTTCATCGGAATAAATCAAAACTACCAAATTTGTTATGCTTAGAAGTATCTCACAATAATATACAATTCATTCGATTATCAGATACTTCAAATACTGAAAACTTTGAAAAGGATTTAATGCAAATGCACTTGAAAGAAGCTGCTGCACATCTCCTATCATTAGCAATACAAGAACGAGACTGTACACGATTACCAATAGCACGTTTACAAACAATTATGAAACAATGGTTTGATGAATTAAAACAATCGGATATAAATCACCGTTCTTCGCATTATGCCATCGAGCAAATTTTGAATTTTTTAAGTTTTCTACCTTTTCCATTTTCAAGTTCACTTGTGCAAAAATTAATTTTAGAACCAGCTGAACATTTATTTCGTAATTTTAAATCGATTATTTGGAAATTGGCAAACAATAATTTAATACGAAAATTACATTTAGAAGAGTTAGGCTTAACACTTGGTATTGATGAATGGACACAAGATTTGTATAACGAAGCAACATATTTATCAGAGAATGTGTTGAATACAACATCAAATGAAACAATTACTAACATGGAAAGTTATCAAGAACAAAGTAAGATGATTGTAATCTTTTTTCTACTTTCACAATGTGTACAAGCTAAAAGTGACCTAGTTATGATTCAGGTTATAACTCAAAAATAATAACTATGCGAATCAAAGTTGTGACCTAACTAGCTATGGCTATTAACTATGGATGTAAACTACAGCCTTATAAACTTTTTTAGTAAATTCAATCAACTCGAATTTTTCTTAAGTTTGATCTGATTCATGAGATCAATAAAGTATTTGAAAAAATACAAGTACTTGCAACATCATTTAATTCAGAAATACAATATTGCAGAATTTTAGTGCAAGCGTTTCTTTTTTCTATTTTCATCTGTCAGTTACATCTTCCTCCATTTACATGTGGTACTTGATAGCTAGTTTCGAAGTAACAGTCTTTTTTTGGTGAAAATAGAGTTCTTAAATATACATAAACATAGCTTACCATTAACATGTTGTCTCTAAAATTTTCATATCAGAGTAAGTCTGATCAGAAATTGCAATGATTATAACTACAAGACCCAAGTCAAAAATAAAAGTCTCAAAAACGCATGTATTTGAAACGATTGTTTTAAAAGATGCGTTCCCTTACAAATATTTACAAACTAGTAGTCTGATTATCGTATATTGCAAGCACATGCATACAAATATATCTTTTGAAGTATTTTAATCTAACGCGTGAGAGTATTCATGTATTCGAAATTTGCAAATACTTACATGTGTTGATCGTTCATGTTCATACAAGAGAAATGACTCGCATCTTCAAAACGTGAATGTCAGTACAAAACATCCGACTTGCAAACATGACTAATGAAGTGATTCTTTTGCTTTTTAATGTACAGTCTACTCTCTTCCAGTATTCAAGTTTTTCGTCGTTGTTTTATTATTTATATTTTACCTAATCGCAATCTTGCTTTCGCTAAATATCTTGAAATACCCTTTCAATATGATTCTGCGTATATCTTTTATGATTCAAGTTCACTTTATTAGTTGATTTGTTTTAAATAATAGGCAAATACACCTAGTGCTTCTTTGTTAAAAAAATAAACTTCAGCATTATTGCTCTAAACTGAGATTTTGATCCGAAGTGCAATAATTTAGTCAACTTGCCGTTTCAACAAAACCTCAGCTTCGGTCGCTGAAGTTTGTTTCCATCAGGACATATTAAAATAAAATTGTGCATGAATAAGCTCGACGACAATGGAAGAATTTTAAAAGTTTGAAATAATTTAGTAAGAAATCTTTCATAATGTGTTTCCGAAGTTTGCATTTATAGATGAAAACTCGTTCTATTAACCTATCATTGATGAATTCAAATTGAATAGCAAAACGATACACGCAAAATTCTAAGAAAAAGTAACTCGTGAGACACCTTGTGCAAACAGACACGCGTACATCTATCACGTATGTTTCTTTTGTTTTTGGCCATGTTAATGTTGTCTTGAAGGCATAAGTAAGTGATTTCTACAAAAATATACAAATATACCTTTGTCGTATTAAAAAAAACTATTAATCGTATATATGGGAATCTTCTATGCAATACTCACGAATTTAAGTCTCATCTTCACCTCGTCACTGGCATCGTTTTATAAGATAGCTTGGAAAGAGATGCGAAAGAGTGAAATACGAGATCGTTTCCTTTAAATAAATATCTGCTTAGAAAATAAATCAAATTTTATTCTAACGATGTAATATCATACCGTTGTTTTTTTTGTTTATTAGATGTGACAAAAGAAAATCGACCAATTGAAAGATCAAACAATATCGTTTATGCTCCAAAAAAAGGAAATTCTACTGCTTTTTCTCGTCCTGTAAGAAATGATGACATTAATAATAGTAATAATAATGACATTGAACCATTCGAACATATTAAAGAAATTCGTAAAACTCTTGGTAAAAATACAGATTTAAACAATGAAGATCAAGAAGTGGTCGATAATTTACAAGATTTACTTGGAGAATGTTTGAAAAAATTAGCCGATGATCTGTATTCTGATCAAGGTCATTTTGTATTAGAGTTAATACAAAATGCCGATGATAATGATTATTCAAAATTAAGTAATAACTCTATACCAAAATTAATATTTATTATTAATGAGAAACAGATAACAATTTATAATAATGAAAATGGTTTTCAAAAACAACACATTAAAGCTATTTGTGCTGTAGGAAAATCAACGAAAGGTAAATATACATATACATATGCATATCAAATCATCCATTGTGTTGACTCATTATTTTGTAGGCAAACATAAGGAAGGCTACTGTGGTCACAAAGGAATAGGTTTTAAGTCTGTATTTGTTGTAAGTATTAATCGTTTTTTTTAATTTTATGAATTAATAAAAGAAGATAACTTTCTTTCTCTAGGCATCGGATAGACCCGAAATTCATTCAAATAATTATCATATTTGCTTTGATGCAACTGATGGTGATCATGTTGGATATGTGTGCCCTATTTGGTTAGATCAGTATGAGCCTGTTATAGAGAGTTACGACAATGATATATGGACTACTTGCATACGATTAAATTTAAAAACAGATGAACACATTCAAGAACAAATAAAGCAAAAATTTGATAATATAAGTCCAAAATTATTATTATTTTTACATAGACTGAAATCGCTTGAAGTTAATTATGAAGATCATATAAAAACATTTACACGCTATGATCATCCAAAGAATATTATTGAATTGACTGAGTTTGATGGCATATGTGAACAACGGAATTATTGGTTAGTCATTAAGAAAAGTTTATCTATACCTGAAACACTTCAAGTAAGTAGAATTTTATTTTTCTTAAGATGACAAAGGGCTCAATCAGTGCAGCATGGGCATAGTATACATAAGAGTGCGGCCACAAAGATAGTGCACGAGGCACTGTGCTCTTCGGACAGTTGAGGACATATGATATATTGATAGAACCTTCATTCCACTTATTAATAATATTATAACCATTTTCTGTATCTAAGAAACGCATTTTATATTTTATTTGCAAAACAAAAGCAAACAAAATTTTAAAAAAGCGTGTCAATGTAGTTCGTTTGGGAGCAAACATGTAGACCTCTTATATGTTCCTCACTGTTATTGTGCTAATACAAAATACATAAAGTGAATTGTATTTGATAGACTATAGTTACTTTTTTACTGACGCTTTTAGTTGTCATTTTCTTTTTTCTGTTTGGTTATTATCTATGTTCTATTCTTATTTTGTTTCTCATATCACCAATATTCAATATTTTCGACTGTTAAGGCTCTATTCGTGTATATGATTTCTGTTAAATACATGATGACATTGATAAATCAATACACTGTTACATGTCATCGTTGATACCTATCTCAAAATCATGCAAGACTTATAGATGTTGTAGACAGCTCCAAACATGAGAAACGAATTTATTGATTGATATTAGTTTTACAATATTTTATCTACATATTGAAATGATCATAATGGAAACAAGATAATCTTGGAAATTCCTTTCTTATGCCATCGATGTTTTTCTGCTTGAATCATTGTGAGAAGCAACATCACTCGTTGAGTATTGCTATCAAACAAAAAAAGATATGATTCTAATTTTATTCATCGTTCCATATATCCTATTACTCCTCATCTATATTTTGATATAAATTGATCAGAAAATAAATGGAATTATCCAATTCTATAGAACTCATGGCTGAGATGGAACAAAAATTTTCTCAAACTTCGAAAACTAAGTGATACAACTCCAGCCTAGTCTTATTTTATTCATGTTGTACATTGCTCATATATTGACAAGAATATAAATGTTGTCCAATCTTTAACATTAGATGTTTTCAAAAAGCTTCTTTTATACAATGCCAACTTTCGTACTTGTACTTTTATTGATCAGTGAATACTATTACATAGTCTTTATTTATGAGTAACTGTCTGTTGAAACTCACATATTCAGAGAGTAGTTATGTTTTTGACGGAACTAATCAGCAGTGTTAGCGTCATCCTCTAGTATTATAGGGCTTATAAATTAACTACCAAAAAATCCAAACATGGATGTGTATTAGTAATCATAAGGTCGTGCTTTGTATGCACTCGATCAAATAGGATCATTCTCAACGGTTGTTTATTATTATTTTATGACTTTTTATAGGCAACTGCTTGTCTTGTATTTTTATTTAATCTTTAAAATAGTTTAACTTGTGTATATCACTTTAACATGAGAGAGAGAGAGATTGACAAGGTTTTTCTGCATAAATTCGGACTTCTACTGAAGAATCAAAGAAAATTAAGAATTAAGCACAATCGAATGAATGACTATTCTGCATTTTTTTGTTACTGTATGAATAAAATAACATTTCATTCATTGTGTCTGTACTATTTTTAGCAAAAATTACGTGAAATCAAAAGTAATGTTGTATCAACATCAGTAGCTATAGGTTTTCCACTTCAATACATGGAACAATGTTTGCGTACAAATACACCAGTACCTATTCAACATTTATTTGCTTATTTACCAGTACGACAATTTGGCTTTCGTTTTATTTTACAAGCAGATTTTGAAATACCAGCTAGTAGACAAGATATACTAAAAGGAAATGAATGGAACGAATGGCTTAGAGATGAAATGGCTCAATTGTTACCTAATGCATATGATTATTTTACTGATTTACCAAGTATTTTAAAAAGTATTTCATCTTCATCATCTTATTTTCAAACGATTGATTCAATTCAAGCATTTAAATATTTTCTAAAATTTATTCCCGTCACAAACGAAGTCGATCCATATTTTCATGGATTCATTGAACATTGTCTAACAGAATTGCGTACAAAAATGAAATTTCCAACACGAAAAGGTAATAGAATACCTCTAAACTCATAAATTACCAAAGTTTCTGTAAGAAACGGAAGTAGTTATTTGCTAAACCTAACCTATAACATAATGCTTACAGTTGACCTAAAGTTGCTTCCTTTTGTTCGTGACAATCTAAAGCATTCAGTTCGTTCAATTTTTGATTTGTCTATCAAAAAAACAAAAAAAATCTTGACGTAAACAAAACATCGATTTTTATCAAAAGAAGCGAAGAAAGTCACTGTATAGTGTTTTGAGAAAGATATACAAAACATTTGTTCTATCATTCCTCACTTTTTACCTGCACACCACAAGTAGGTAGAATAAAGGATTTGAGTTTTTATCGCGTGTTTTTCATCGTTTGTTGGATGAATCGTATTTGAGCATTGCCATTCATGTCAGTATCTATGCCTAAGTTAAGAAAGCGATTGTTTTAAACTCTATGATCCTCATTGGTCAGTTATCAATTGTGAACAGTGAAAAATCTTAGTGTGCTTGGTACACGAAAACATCTTTGTAATGATCATGAAAATCTTCATGTCCATTTGAAGGAAGTTCATTGATTAGGCATAAAATAAAATCAGCATTACTAGCGATTGCCTACTATACGTTTCGAACCAAAACTTGTCACTTTCTTTTCCTCTAGTAACTTTTTAGAAGGAACTGAATCTATAGTGTAAAAGATACCAAGACAACATATTTCGCTCCGTGTTCAGTATAAGCATGTAACATGTCTTAAATCTTGCTCTTACTCAACTAACTTGGTGTTTTCATCTTGTTTTTCCTAACAGAAAGCTCTTGAGTTCGAGACAATATTTTCTTTTGATATTTCATATCAGTTTGTTCTGTGTATCAATGAACTTGTTACAATTGTTTTCATTACTTAGATAATTCTCAGCATGAAGTTGAATGGCAATTGCCGTCGAAATGTGTTATTGTTCGTGATCCGTTTATTCTTAAAATATTATCATCAAATTTATTATCGAAATATTGTGGAAAATACTTTTTACATGAATATTTACATGATGTTGATGAAAAAATCTTATCGTTATTAGGTATTGAAAAATTAAATATTCATGAAATAATAAAAATAATTAAAGAACAATTTCTCAATCAACAACAATCATCTACTAGTTCAATTGAACAAATTGCTCAATGGTTAATATGTTTAAATTATAGTTTAGAACAAATGAAATATTTGAGTTATAGTGATGATGATACAATTCAATTGAAAGAATTAAAAATGATTCCAATAGAAAATCAAACTGAACTCGTATCAACTAATGAAATGACAATATTTTTCCCTGATACAACACAAATGAATTCTACTGAAATTGATCGAAAATTAATTAAATTGTTAAATGATTTACCTACAGTAAAAATAGAATTATTTCATTATATCGAACAAAATTATATTGATCGTTTACAAGAAATAAAAGAATTATTGAAAAAATTTGGTATCATAGAAAAATGTTATGATGAAATTTATCGTTTATTAATTAAACCCGTATTTGAAAATGAAATCATGTGGAAAGCAAAAGATAGTGAAACATTGATGATGTATTTATTGTATGTATACGAACATATTCATCAGAGAGGATATCCAAATGAGAAAGATTTTGATATAGATAATTTTAAAAATATCGTACAAATTAAATGTCAAAACAATGAATTTTATAATCCAATGAAAACAACAATTCATTTATCAACAACAGATGCTTTTAACGATAGAATCAGTAAATTATTAAAAAATAGCAATTGTATATTCATATCGGATGATTATTCGAATTATATAAAACATCAAGAAAAAAATCAATGGCATATGTTTCTTGAAAAATTGGGTATTAGTGAATTTTTGAAAATTGAAACAGTTTTGCATAGTAAGTCGAATGATGATAAAATATTTTCTTAAATCAACAAAGATGGTTTTATTTTCTATACATATATGATCAGCTGTTCTTTCTCAATTGATTTCATATGAAGAAAGATTTAATATTCGAGTTTAATTTGTTTAAGTAAAAGCTTCTTCTGGTCAATTTGAATTTGATGATTTCATTATTAAGATTATTGGTTAGATTCAATACAAGAAAGACAAGAATTCGATATCTAATTAATCAACATTATTCTTTTAGAAAATAATGCATTAATACATAGATGATTATAGTTCTCTGTGATATGTGACTAAGACATAGTAGAAAAGTTCACTCCATAGTTTTCATCTAATTTGAAAATGATCATACAAGCTCATATATCTGGTGTGGGATTTTGTTGTATAACTCGTATCCATTTCTGAGTACAAGGTACGACTCGAATAACACATTGTGCTCAATTGCATGGTAATATTTATTTTTAGTTTAAAAGCAATCTGAAATCACGAATTAATGTTTTCAATGTATCTGTCGTCTAAACTAATGAAGAACAAAAGACTAAATTTTCCACAGACTTAATATAATAGTGTAAGATCATTTTGAAACAAAAAATTACTATCACTACTGAACATAATATATTCAATTACCCTCAGCTTGTCTGACATACGTGCAAGTAATTGTAAATCAGTTAGTTGATTGCGAAAGTCTTGAAAGAGTGCGTATAATTCTTCAACAGAACATAATATTGAATTAGATCTTATGTAGTTGAACAGAACAAATTAGTTCATCGAATGATTTTAATGAAATTCAAAAAAAATCTAGCGTTTCTCAATGTATATCATGGACGCTCATGGTATTTCGTAATTACTGATCAATCAAATTTTCACATGTACATACATTCATATATACGCATCCATTACGTTCTCTTTTTAAAGATGAATACTACAGATCACTATTCGTTTGCATTCTTTAGTGATTCAAGCCACAATCATTCGTGTTTTGTTTTTGAAATTAGATAGTAATGCCCGTATAGGCTTTATAAAATTAGTTCGATGGAATAGATTGATTAATGTCGAAAAATTGCAATCCATTTTGGGTGAAAGTATCTCCGAAAAATTTCATTTTGACAAATTGTGCGACCGTTCGAATTCTAAAGTTTTTCTTTCAAAGCAATAGATATTCTCATTGACTTGAATTGTAAAGTGTACCAAGTGATTCATATTTCTAGATTTCCATTTGGTTTTAGATCACTTCTTGAAAATGTCTCAAGAAAATGACTGTTTCAATAGAGTGAAGTGGAAAAAATATCCGTGTGATTTTCAAGTACTAAATAAAATATATGACTAAAGGTTTAATTGTACCGTTAAATATGTTCGATTGAAGTCGCCTTTCTTTCTCGATGAATTCTTCAT